AAGGTGAGCTTTGTTTTGGGTAAGTTAAAGAAAGACTGGAGACAAGGTGAGCTTTGTTTTGGGTAAGTTAAAGAAAGACTGGAGACAAGGTGAGCTTTGTTTTGGGTAAGTTAAAGAAAGACTGGAGACAAGGCGAGTTTTATTTTGGGCAACTTAAATAAAGACTTAAGTCAAGGTGAGCTCTTATGAGGAAGGCGAAGAAAGACAGTTCTCAAGAAAGGGTGAATTCTATTTTGCACAAAGTAAAGAAAGACTGGAAACATTGGGAGCTACGCTTTGAGTAACTTAAAGAAAGATTGGAGACAAGGTGAGCTAAATTTAGGAAGGGGAAGAGAGACAATTATATAGACAAGGTGAACACTATTTTCGGTAAGATAAAGAGGGAAGTAGGCTTAAGGTAGTCGGTGGGAAATGGCTGGAAGATATTATTATTATTTGATGTTTAAATAACTATTTTTAATGTTTAATTATTTTTAAAATTAATTTATGCTAAAATTGATGTCAATTTACTAAATAATAATTTTCTTACAGTTATAAATTGTATTTTAAAATTCTTTTCATTAATTTTGGTTGAAGGCTGAACATTTTTGCTTATAAACATTTCACTACTCATTATCTACGTCTAACTGCATACCTGAAATCGGTATATTCAACTTAATTGAACAGAGTACAGTTAACAATTATTGACTGGTTATCAGGGCAACAAATGATCTGCTTGCCCGAAATCACCAGTCAATAATTGTTTTATTCTACCCCACTTTTCTGTTTTCAGCTTTACTGATATATGATAATTAGCTTACACCCCAGAGTCTGTATGTAAATTTTAAAACTAAATATTTTATTGGTTACTTTGATATAATTTTAAGAATCAATAAGAAATCAATAATATTTAGAAATTGTTTGATTTTTAAAATATAACAGTCAAATTTCACGTGATTTTACCAATAAACATATAAAATACGCAACTGTCCAGCTTTAGCAAAAAATTTGACTAGAATGCTGGCGAAATTTTCAGACCGACGTTGTTTATAAACTAGGCCTAAATAAATCAACTTGTCTTCACTGTTCGTCAAAAAGTTGTCATGTACAATGTTCTGATGCTTAAATGGCTCTGCTTTTCCCCCTCCACACCCCATTATTGCTGTTATTGAGCATTTGACGTAAGTTAATGTTAACTGCATTCATAAATGGCACATCATTGCACCGAAAAATAAAACTTTATGACATTTTCTATAACACAACATACACACAGTGTGAGGGAAGGGCACACAAATGTCGTATATATCTCAGAGAGTGAGCTAGCGTTCTCTATGGAAGAATGCAATAAAAAAGCATGGCCACCACTATCACAATAATACATAAACTTAGCTGAAGTTTTTACTCTAACAGCCGTTTCATGAGTTATACCTACTTTCCTATTTTGACCCGTGACCTCTCAACTTTGGCCCGTAAAACACTTCTGCTGCCAATGACCATCAATTAATTAATCACGTGAAACACTGTGGAAAGACTTTAAGAGCTGTGTGTTGAAAGCAGGCAACAGAAAGTACACCTACAGCCACTACTTTCACCGCTACCTCTTTCACCCTGACCATCACACAACGTATACCATGTTTTAAGTAAATACATATTGAGTTCTTAAAGCTGATACAAAACGTTTGATGAGGTAATAATCAATATTGTAATCACGTGTTATTATTAAATTGTGTGAAAGTTCGGATTTTTGTGTTATTTTTCATAGCTACCACCCCCACATTTTTTTAAATGTTCATAACCCGGACAAAAGACAGGTACCTCAGCTTGCTATATCTATTTGCAGTTTTCAGTGTTCGGCACAAATAGAATCTATTCTCCTAGGGCATGATTCACTTGCACATATCAGAATTTAACATAAATTAAATGCTTTTATTTCTAGAGATCCTGAACATTCTCTTTCTTTTGTCATTAGGAGGAACGAAAGGATATATCGAGAGATATTGAATTTGGATAATGTTGTTAACCATGCAGTTATAGAAGCTGAAGAACGTGCAACGAATGTTACGTTTAATTTATTGTATTGTAATATTATATAATTAGCACTTAATAACAAAAAATATATTAAAATTAATTCATGTACGTTTATTTGAAAATATTCTTTAAAATCCATAAACATGAAAGGATCTTTCAGAATTTAACCAGTTATACATTGAGCCTTTAATGAAATGTATTAATAATAAAAAAAAAAACGTTCGCAAACTTATTTTTATTGATGTTAACAGTTTATAGGAAAGTTATTTGTTACATACATATCAGATACTAAACATTAATTGAAGTATTCTATTCTCTCATGAAAAACGTTTATTATTAAAAGCAATGTTTCTTTACTGTCTAAGCATAACAAAAGCCGCATAAACAGTTGAAGCGTCGTTCTGTATAAAAAATTAGCACGCCAGCACAGTGAGTTTTGGTACGTAGCACTAATGGTTCGTTTTCATAATTCAAAACGTTATAATACTACCAGTTGTAATCAGACATTTTATTTAATTATGTACAGTCATTCGTGAATAAAATTGATGCTAGTCCAAAAATAAAGATACAGGTGGTGTTTCTATATGGAAATGCTTAGTTTATATGAAGCTTTTTGTGTGGATATTTAATTACGAGATATCAAGTAGCTCCAACTTGTACAGCTTATCAGCGTATCTCTAAGGTAACTTAAAACAACAAAAAACACTATATTTCACGTCTCGATAAGACTTGGAGAGTACTTACATTTGCTTCAACCCAATACTCAACTGGTTTGTTATGAATTTCACGCAAAGCTACACGAGGGCTATCTGCGCTAGTCGTCCCTAATTTAGCAGTGAAAGACTAGAGGGAAGTCAGCTAGTCAACACCACCCACTACCAACTCTTGGGCTACTCTTTTGCCAACGAATAGTGGGATTGACCGTCACTTTATAACGCCCACCACGGCTGAAAGGGCGAGTATGTTTAGTGGGACGGGGACTCGAACCCGCAGATTGCGAGTTCGTCGCCATAATCATAAGAGGCCTTTATCTGTGCTCTGCACACCACCCGCAGACTTACCGTTGTGCCACTAGGGGGCGCCATTCTCAACTCCCTGTCTCACTCCTAAGTCAATTGTATTTTAGTTTTCGTGGCCAAAGTGTTAGTCAGCTTTTACCAACTTGCGAGTACTACTACAGTAGCTTTAAACTAAACGAGAGAAAATGAGATAGACAAATGAACTGGTCACAAAATTTAGCACGATTTCTTTTTTTTTTTTTTTTTTTTAGTGATTACTGATTCTAATATTTGAATGCAAGGTATATGTTGAAAGCTGTTATGTTATCAGTGATTTATAAATTGGAAAGCTCGGTGAACGAGCAGTTTAAAATTTCTGATATTTACCAAAGTAGATAAAAGGACAATCACCAAAATAAATAAATCTGACATTTTTCTTACTTAATATATCAAACATATTTCTGATGCTGGCCTAACTAAAGGTTTAACGATAATATTTCTGATAAAAAACACAATTTTATTTCTGTCAAACAAATTACACATACATATTAACAAAGGGAGTCAAATACGTATTTCTATCTACGCTCAACTGGTATATATATATCCATACATACGAATAGAAGCATCGAATGACTCATTTCTTTTCGACTGATGTGTTATATGATCAAATTTAAAATATTGCATTTCCTAAGAAGCTAGATCAAATGGTAATAGTTTTACAGTGGAATAACTTTAAGAAGCTTGATCAAATGGTAATAGTTTTACAGTGGAATAACTTTAAGAAGCTTGATCAAATGGTAATAGTTTTACAGTAGAATAACTTTAAGAAGTATGTTGAAAAAGTAATAGTCTTATAGTGGAATAACTTTAAGAAGCTTGTTGAAATAGTAATAGTTTTACAGTGGAATAACTTTAAGAAACTTGTTGAAATGGTAATAGTTTTACAGTGGAATAACTTTAAAAAGCTTGTTGAAATGGTAATAGTTTTACAGTGGAATAAATTTAAGAAGCTTGTTGAAGTGGTAATAGTTTTACAGTGGAATAACTTTAAAAAGCTTGTTGAAATGGTAATAGTTTTACAGTGGAATAAATTTAAGAAGCTTGTTGAAGTGGTAATAGTTTTACAGTGGAATAACTTTAAGAAGCTTGTTCAAATAGTAATAGTTTTACAGTGGAATAACTTTAAGAAGCTTGTTCAAATGGTAATAGTTTTACAGTGGAATAACTTTAAGAAGCTTGTTGAAATAGTAATAGTTTTACAGTGGAATAACTTTAAGAAGCTTGTTCAAATAGTAATAGTTTTACAGTGGAATAACTTTAAGAAGCTTGTTCAAATGGTAATAGTTTTATAGTGGAATAACTTTAAGAAGCTTGTTCAAATGGTAATAGTTTTACAGTGGAATAACTTTAAGAAGCTTGATCAAATGGTAATAGGTTTACAGTGGAATAACTTATAATGTATCTTTGATTTTACAATAACTGTAATATTTACGTCTTTTTTGTTATTGGGACTTACAGATGAAAATCACTAAAATGTAAACTACAATAATGATTATTAGAAAATAAAATTCTTAAATCAGCACATATGCTTAAAGCTGCATGGCAAGAACAAAGAGCCAACATGTGTCCTTATGACATACAGAAAACTAAGGCGAAACACACGACAAAAATACGTTTAAACACAATTTTCTTTCTTCTACTTGGTGAAATTATTTAAAAGAGATTGTTATTAAATCTATAGCTGTAGTTGATAATGATATTACATATCCGAGAGCAATGTGTGTAA